ACGGAGGACGGGCAGGGTCAAAGATCAGAGCGGTGGCATAGTCAAGGCGGCGGGTAGAGGCGAAGTCAGCGAATGCAGCAACAAGAGCGTCAAGACGCGAAACCGGAACAGACAGGTTAATAACGAGAGAGGCAAGGACCCGAGGAACAAGAGGACGAGCGGCACGCAGGTAGTCAGATAGAGGGGGAGGCGCAACGACAAGGGAGGATGGAGGAGGCGACGTGAGAAGGGGAGGGCGGGACACGTGGGAACGAAGCAACATAGGGTGGGAGTGCGGGACAGGGGAGACAGGGCGAGCACGGGAGGGACGGCGAGACCAGAAGTGAGACAGAGGCGTCGGGTCAGGAGACAGAGGAGGAGACACAAGAGGGGAACGAGGGGGGAAACGAGCCGGAGACGGGTCCAGGAGAGGGAACAGAGGGCCGTAGACCGGAAGAGGAGGGGACGGCAGGAGAGGAACAGACGCAGGGTCAGGGGATGGAAGGCCGAGCAGGCGAAGGGCTGACACCGGCGGGGACTGCGGCTGCTACGGCACAACACCGACTCCAGGGCCGGAAGCAGCTCTACGGATGCCACCTGAACACTCCACTCCTGCCCCCCTAGAAGGAACACCCCCAGAGCCAGAAACCCCTCCAGCACTGGTGCCATCCCCAACTCCAGCACCCCCAGAGATGACGAACAGCTGTTGCGTCAGTTACGGCGACAACTGCTGCAACGGCAGTTGCGGCGGCGACGTTTGATGCTGCGGCGGCGACAACGGCTGCGGAGGCGGTGGAGGAGGAGACACCGGGGGGGAGGCAGGTGGCAAGGACTGCGCCGCAGGACCACCAGAGTCTGCAGACTCCTCAACCGGGACAACCGACGGGAGGGGAGTGACGTGAGACACACCAGACGAGGCAGGACGCGGAGGGGAAGGGGCAGGTGCAACCAGGGACGGGGGAACCAGAAACAGGGGGGGGGTAACCGAGGGACCACGGTGGGGAAAGCGGTGATAGAAGGAGACGGACTCGTCAAAGGTGATGTCGCGGGAGTGAAAGAAACGGTGGGACGGCGGGTGGTAGAAGTGCCAGTCAGAGGAGTCAAGGGGGAATCCAAGGAAGACACAGGGGACTGTGCGGGCAGTAATCTTGTCCGTGCCAGAGGCATCAACGTGAGTAAGACAGCCTTCGACGTGGAACGCAGACGCGGCACCAGGAGACCCGGTCCAAAGAAGGGTCGGCGAAACCTGTGGCTGCTGAGGGTGCGGCCACAGGTTAAGCTGGTGAGCGACGCAGCGAACCGCGAACGGCCACAGATAATGGGGTGCACCGGCGTGGATCATGGAGGTACGAGGGGCCCCATCCGTCCATGTGCAAGGTCTGTAGCGGTGCGATGGTGGGGGGGAAAGAGGAGGAGTGAGGGGCACTGCGGAGCCGGCCCTCGACGCAGGGCGTGCACGGTGGTACTGTGGAGGGGGGCAATTCGGGGAACGGCCCTGGGAGCCCTAGGACAAGACCGTGCTGTTACATGTGACGCAGACGCGGGAGCGCAGGGTGACCTAGACGGTGGTGCCACAGGAGGGTCGGGTGAGTAAGTGACCGACACGAGCAGGCCGCTGCAACCTAAGACGATGCAGCTACCAGGGGAGGCATCCGAACCGGGGGGGCCGTAGTGTCCAGTGTGAACAGGCCAGACACTGGGTCCCGGGGGAACGTGATGAGGGGGGCACCAGTGACGGCCTCGGTACAGACAACAAACCGCTCGTGACCAGAGAACGTAATGGTAACGCCAATCCTGGAGGCAACCAACACCAACTAGGTTCCTGGAAAACGAGGAGACGTGCAAGCCTGTAAGCGAGCCCGAAGGAGCCGCCAGACACGGAAGGGTGGTAGAACAACGAGCGACTACCGGACTGGAGGAGAGGTCAGCAAGGGAAACCGCAGCAAGAGCAGCAAGCGGTGACAGCGTCGTGGAGTCGCGGAAGAAACACCGGGAAGCATCAGAGTCTTGGGTGAAGGAGAGCGCAGCAGTGGCGGCCGGAGTCTGAGCAGCGACGGAGGAACCAAGGCTAAACAAAGCAGGGGATCCTACGCCTGACGCAGCAGGGGAGGCAAGACTAGACACACCTACACTAGGCAGCACGGGGTAGTAAGAACCAATCACACTGGAGTCATCAGCATACAGCACATACAAGGCAGAACTAAGCTCATCCATGTCCATATCAAAGATCGGAATACTACGGCGAAGCAAGCTGTACTAGTCGGGGAGGTCGGGCGACGGGCCGAAGCGACGAAAGCAGCGGACAGGGGTGTGACCGATCTTACCGCAAACGGAGCTGCGGCGAGGACCGGTCTGAAGCTGGTTTTGGCAGCGCCCGTCCCCCGAACTGCCACCCGGAGACACACCACACGCACGGCCACCACCACGTCCACCGCCGCCACTAGCGCCAGGCCACCCGGGCGGGAGACCACTCGCCTGCCTCTGCCGCTGCGGCTGCTGCGACTGCTGCGGCTAGTGCTGGGGCTGCTCCTGCGGGTGATGCTGGTCCGGCTGCGACGGCTTCGGCTGCTGGGACGGCTACTCGGCTGCACCAGGGACAATCCCCTTGTCCGCGCCACCACCAGGCGACCCGACTCCACCACCACCTCCATCTGCACCGCTGCCCCCCCCCCCCACCGCGCCCAGCCTTGGGGCGGCGACCCTTCCCCGGACGGAACTGCGCTGCAGCTGCAGTCTCAGCCATAGCAGCGGAACCGTCAGAGAAGGTGCACTGAGCAGGGGCACAACCGTGAAAGATAAGGACCGGCATAGTACCGCTGGTCTGGGCGATTGAGCGGTGGCGGGTCTCTATGGCAGATAGGGTGTCAACAAAGTCGGTGAGGGTGAGGTTACCGGGGTGGACGTTAAGGAAGCGGTCGCGGGCAGTGGAAAGACGGTCAGGGAGGCGGGTGGCCAGCAAGTAGAGGGCAGAGCAGAGGGGCGGCTGATGGGCTCTAAGCTGGGTCTCAGTGAAGGCAGAGCGCCAGGTCGCGTCTATCATGCGCAGGTGGGCGGCCAAGTCAGCGACAGTGGGGAATGATGCAAGGTCAGGGAAGAGCATCGGTAGGATCAGGAGACCTACCGAGGCAGCGGGCGGGGTGGAATAGCGCTGGACAATAGCATCTAAGAACGCATGTGCAGTAGTGATGGACCTAAAGCGAGGGCGCTCAGTCAGGGGGAGGGCATGGCTGATAGCAAGCTGCGCAACGGCGTCACGCGACAGCCAGACGGAGCGAGCAAGGGCAGCAGCTGCAGCGGACTCACGCTCAGCAGACGAGGGGTCAGCGGGCAGCGCAGCAGGGGGGTCAGGGCAGGGGAGCGTACCGTCAAGGTGGACAGACAGCGAGTGGCCATCCTGCCGCTGACCAGTGAGATGGCGGCGGAGGTCGACCAGCCACGCGTCAAACTCAAGCGGCTGACCCTCAACATCGAAGCGAAGCACGTCCGCCATCAGGAACGGTGCAGAGCGGTGCAGTGCAGTGCAATGCGGTGCTGTGCGGTGCAGTGCGGTGCAGAGCGGTACAGCGCGGTGCAGTGCGGCGCAGTGCGGTGTTGTGCGGTGCAGTGCGGTGCAGAGCGGTACAGCGCGGTGCAGTGCGGTGCTGTGCGGTGCAGTGCGGTGCAGAGCGGTACAGCGCGGTGCAGTGCGGTGTTGTGCGGTACCGGGCGGTGCAGAGCAGTGCAATCAAGAAGGACGGGCTGGGCACGAGTCCGAGGTGGGCCGGCACCGAAATGAACTTGGGGTCGGCGAGGAGAGGGCACGAGGCCGACGAGGGGCGGGCGCGAGGTGGGGGGGGGGGGGGGGGGGGGGGGGCGGTGAGGAGCGGGCGCGACAGGCACTAGGGGCCGGCTAGGAACGGGCGCGTAGGGGCGTAAGGGGCCGACTAGGAGCAGGCGCGACGGCACGAGGGGCCGGCTGGGATGGGCTCGCCAGGCACGAGGGGCCGGCAGGACGGGCGCGACGGCTCAGGGGGCTGGCTAGAACGGGCGCGACGGCTCAGGGGGGGCCGGCTAGGACGTGCGTGATGGCTCAGGGGGCCGGCTAGGACGGGCACGACGGCTCAGAGGGGCCGGCTAGGAACGAGCGCGACGGCTCAGGGGGCCGGCTAGGACGGGCGCGACGGCTTAGAGGGTCGGCTAGGACGGGCGCGACGGCTCAAGGGGGCGGCTAGAACGGTCGCGACGGCTCAAGGGGGCGGCTAGGACGAGCGCGACGGCTCAGGGGGCTGGCTAGGATGGGCGTGACGGCTCAGGGGGCCGACTAGGACGGGCGCGACGGCTCAGGGGGCCGGCTAGGACGGGCGCGACGGCTCAAGGGGCCGGCTAGGACGGTCGCGACGGCTCAGGGGGCCGGCTAGGAACGGGTGCGACGGCTCAGGGGGTCGGCTAGGACGGGCGCGACGGCTCAGAGGGCCGGCTAGGACGGGCGCGACGGCTCAGAGGGCCGGCTAGGACAGGCGCGACGGCTCAGAGGGCCGGCTAGGACGGGCGCGACGGCTCAGGGGGCCGGCTAGGACGGGCGCGACGGCTCAGGGGGCTGGCTAGGAACGGGCGCGACGGCTCAGGGGGGCGGCTAGGACGGGCGCGACGGCTCAAGGGGCCGGCTAGGACGGCCGCGACGGCTCAGGGGGCTGGCTAGGAACGGGCGCGACGGCTCAGGGGGGCGGCTAGGACGGGCGCGACGGCTCAGGGGGCCGGCTAGGACGGGCGCGAGGGCTCAGAGGGCCGGCTAGGACGGGCGCGACGGCTCAAGGGGCTGGCAAGGATGGTCGCGACGGCTCAGGAGGGCGGCTAGGAACGGGCGCGACGGCTCAGGGGGCCGGCTAGGACGGGCGCGACGGCTCAGGGGGCCGGCTAGGAACGAGCGCGACGGCGCAGGGGGCCGGTTAGGACGGGCACGAGGGCAGCTAGGGCCTAGGGCGGAAGCGCGGGCGGGCTAGATGGACCTAACCTACTCATGATACCATGGAGAGAATGACTAGAATAGGAGGATACAGGGCAATATAGACTAGAGTGTTGTACCCTCTATAGTCACAAACCTGTATAGTCTACAGTAACAACCTAAGTTATGTTTGATATCATCAACTGTGATATACCTTCATCACATACACATTACTCCACATATGACAAAGAAAACTAGCCAGAGTAGTGCTGACGTAATGGTATCAGTGAAACGGTAGACGATTCCTCAACTAGTATGCTGTGTTGTGGCCTTGTACGAATTAACTCATGCAGATGTTGGTACGGTTCCCTCAGCTGCAATTGAAGGATCACATCAACGTGAGAGGGAAGGAGAAATCAGAAGAATTCCAAAAACCAAGACGTCATGCAAGAGTGGGTTGATGCAAGTACTGGAGACCAATGCAAGCGGGAAAAGAGAGCTTCCACTCCACAGTATGCTCCCACCAACACCCCATAAGAGCCAACGTTTTCCAGGAAGCAGGGAAAAGGAGAAGAAATACCCAGAAGCAGTGCAAATGACACTGATAATCCCGCGCATTATATCACTTACCCTGCCACTCCCACACAACCTTCGTCTCATCTGCCACCATCCATGGGTAGATCAGAATCCTGCTGTCCCCTCCAACCCACTGCTGCACCTCCCTCCACAGCTTCCTCACCCCGTGCTGCCGTCTCTTCTCACTCCACTGTACAACCGGAGACCACACTGTACAAAGTATTGTGACACATACTGTAGCAATGACTGTAGATGGCATATCAAAGAATGGATCGGCCCAGGCAGGTGGTGGAAACAAGTGGTCTCGGAGCACATCTTCCACAACCCAGGACTGGCCGGCGAATCCCGTCTGCAACCGGCAGGATTCGGCATCTTCTGCCGCCTGCTGCAGCAGTGCACAGACGTGAGCGTATGTTGTTCGGACAGCGTCCTCCCACTCCCGACGCCTCTTCATCATCAGCCCAGCAACAGCAAACAGAACGCCACATGGCACAGCTAACAGCAGGTCCAGCCAATGAGAGGCCGTTGCATGCCATGCCCAGCAGCTGTTGGACAGCAGCTCTTGTGCCAGCTCATCCGGGCAGGTAAAAGTTTTCTCCCTCCTGCCCAGGCGGAGCATGGTGTCACCTGCTTGAACTCTGGCAAAGGCCCTGTCAGTGACCAGTGCAGTCAGGAAATCCGACTGATGCTTGCCAGTTCCCAACTCTGCTCTTTGTAAATCTTCAACCTTCTGCTGCTGCTGCTGCTGCTCCTGTTGCTGCTCCGGCTGCCAACCATCCAATATCGAGGCTGGTGGTGATGATGCAACTTCCGCCAATGGAAGCACAGGAGCAGAGTGTGGCGTACTGACTGCTACCGGGAAGGCAGAAGCAGGGGCCAGGGGAAGTCCAAGACCCTCCCTCACCTCCCATTCACTCGCATACTCACTCCCTTTCCTTTCCCCAAACAAGTCTCCCTCCCCACTCACCCACCAAGACATTTTCCCATCACCACCACTCTGAACCTCGCCAGCTCCACCCGTATCCCCCTTGTAGGAAACTCCATTACTGTGCAGAATCATCTGAGCTACAGCTTGCACAGTCCTCCTAATACCATCAGCCAGGCTGGAAGGTACACCCTCACACATCTGCCACGCACGTTTCTGACACACCCACTCAACCACGTCCCTCTCCAGCGCTGCCACCTGTCGATCCATGATTGGGTCAGGGACGCATGCAGGGGAGGGAGCAACCAGGGCATACCACCAGGTGATCTCTCCGCCACTGTTACTGCCCTCCATCCCCCAGCTGGTACTTCTACTGCTTCCTCTACCACTGCGACCGCTGCTGCTGCTGCTGCTAACACTATCACCGGCGTGTCTGTAGCTGGCACGGTTGAAGAATGAAGCAGGGCTGTAGCTGGGAAGGCACTTGGCTTTACCCTGGGAGCATACAGCATGGTCCGGGCACGGCCGGCAGTGCACAGGCGAGGCAGAAACGGGGGAAGGAGAGGATGGAGAGAGACGAGGAGGAGAGGATAGATGAGAAGGGTTAGTGGCGGGAAGACAGGTGACCGGGGACAGAAAAAGGGGCTCCTGCTGCTGCTGCTGTGGTGATGCTGACGATTCCACGCCACCGCTGCCACTGCTGTCGCATAAGGGGAGCAGGCGGTGCTCCAGCGACTGAAGGAGGGACCAGGCGGAGGAGTATACGCCTGCTGCCACGCCCACCATCGCCACCAGCTGCACCAACTGCAGCAGCAGCATGTGCACAGACCATGTGCCGTGCTTTAGCCTGCTCTCCTTCGCCCGTTTCTGCTCCTTCTTCTGCCTGCTGGTCGGCCTTGACCAGCTGAGCCCGCCTGGTCCTTCCCCTCCCCCTCCTGCTGCCGCTGCTGCTGCGGCCGCCTCTGCTGCTCCTGCTGCCTCTGCTGCTGCTGCCACCTCTGCTGCTGCTGGTGCCAATGCGTGTGTGCCGACGAGTCTCTGTGCAAATGCGGCCAGCCGTTCTATCAGCGTTGATACTGCCCCTTGCGTTCTCTCAGGTGGTGCAGTAGCCCAAGGTGCTAGGGGGACGGCAGGGTGAGGAGTAGGGAAGTGGAGATGGCGGGGCAGGATGGGGGAAGGGCAGGGAGCAGAGAGAGGGACGACTGATGGATACGCAGCAGCGTTTCCAATTGTGGATGCATGTGCGATTGATCCTGCTGCTGCTGCAGATGATCCTGCTGCAGATGATCCTGCTGCTGTTGCTGACAATGATGCCGACGGTGATGCTGATGACGATCGTGCTGCTGCTGATGATGGTGCTGATGGTGCTGCTGATGATGTTGCCTGAGTGGATGGCGTTCCAGTCGACTCACGCACTGCTGAACCCTTCGATCTCCAAACCGAAGAAAGGACGAAAGAAAGGAGCATGCAGGACAGGAAGAAAGGAAGAACGAAAGACAGCAAGCAGGAAAGCATGAGCCAAAGGAAACTCATAGCTGCTGAGCTCTTGCCTGCCACCCCACAACCACGCACTCCACCCCAGAACCATGCCCAGGTGCGCCCCACCATGCCATCTGGACGACCAGCTCCAGCCCCACCTCCAACGATGGCTCCGCCATTGTATCCCCCATCACTCCCTTCCGCTGCTGACCCTCCCATATGACGGCTGAGCTCCCCCATCTCTGGAAAGAGACCCCCGTTGCGTCCATGGGGGGTGAAATCCAGGGAATCACGAGCAGAGACGAAGGAGCTGGTGCCTGAATCCGCCTGCTGCTGCTGCCGCCACTCCTGCTGGCCTGGCACGTGCTGCTGCTGTTGTTGCTGCTGTTGCTGTTGCTGTTGCCCAGGCTGACCCTGCTGCTGATGCATCTGCTCCTCTCTATCAACGTCACCCGCACCTGCTTGTTCCTCCCTCTCCAGCCGTCCCTGCTTGACAGTACTGTCCCACCACCACCATCTGTTGCTCCAATGCTTCTCCCCGTCGCTCGTCCCCCCCGATCCTTCAGGTGTTCCCTCAGGTGTTCTCCAAGATTCTCCAGGCGTTTCATCAGGCGTCCGTACCACCCCAGGTACACGTGCTGCTGTTCCAGCTGCTGGTTCTGCTGGTGTTGTTGCTGCTGCTGCTGCCGTTGCTGCTGCACCAGCCGCTCTCTTCTGTCCTGCTCTTCCACACCCACTCTCTGCTGTTAAAGGTGTCGTCGACTTCCCTCTCCCTTGCTTCTTCACATGAAGCTCCTCCTGACCCTCCGCATATAGATGCTCGATTGAGGGAGCAGACGCGAACGTATCAGCAGACGGAGCAGAAGGAAACGCATCGGCAGAGCCAGCAGAAACGAACGTATTATGAGTCATGCCCGTTGGAGGCGAGAAGAGCGTATGCAGGGAAGCGCGCGTCATGGGCGAGCCCATAGGTGGGGAGAAGAGCGTGTTCAGTGACGCGACCTGGGGGGTTGAGAAGGAGAGCGGAGCGTTGGGGGAAGCGAGCAGCGGAAGAGCCATGCGGAGATAGTAGGTGCGCTTGTGCTCCCGCGGGGAGAGATCCACGCCTTGGTCGAGCAGCCACTGCTTCAACTGCGCCGTGCTCATGGCTCTTAGCTCCTGCTCCCTCGCGTGTAGACGTTGCTGCTGCTGCTGCTGCTGCTGCTGCTGCTGCTGCTGCTGCTGCTGCTGCTGCTGCTGCTGCTGCTGCTGCTGCTGCTGTTGCTGCTGCTGTTTCTGCTGCTGCCGCTGCTGCTGTTGAGGCTGTTGCTGATGAGATTGTTGATGGTGCTGCTGCTCCTGGCGTTGAGCCTGTTGCTGGTGCTCGTGATGCTGGTGCTCCTGCTGAAACCATCTCCCTGATTCGCCGACAACAACAGACGGACCAGGCGCCGTCGGATCTCGTCTCTGAACACCATCGACAGCCGTCCGATCGTAACCCGCATCTCGCTTACCATGATCCGTCTTTAGCCAATCAAGAGCGATCTGGAGGTAGTACCGACGGTTGTGATCGCGAGGGGAGAGAGACAGGCCTTGGGAGAGGAGAAAGTCCTTCAGCTCGTCGATCCGCATCCCTCGTATCTGCTGCTCTGAAAGCGGATCCATTCCAGCGTCCGCCTGAGGATGCCGGTCGATATCAGTGTCAGGTTGCCGATAACCGTCGATTTCAGTGCCAGGGTGCCGGTAACCGTTGATTTCAGCGTCAGGGTGCCGATGACCGTCGATTTCAGTGTCAAGGTGCCGATAAGCGTCAAATTCAATGTCAAGGTGTCGATAAACGTCAAATTCAGTGCTCAGAGTGCCAATAACCGTCGATTTCAGGGTCAGGGTGCCGATAAGCGTCGATTTCGGGGTCAGAGCTTCTACATCAACCCTATTGGCCGTAAAACTAGCAATATCAGATCGCCTCAGAACGATGTACAACTACGAACAAGGAATCTAATTTCGCGTCAAAGGATTTCGGTCACTCCTCGTGTCAGACCTACGCGCGAAGAGGTCAGTTGCGAATGACGAATAAACTACGAGTCGACGTGCCAGATCTATGTACGAAAGAGCAACTACAAACGAGGAGAATAATTCGCGCGGATAGACGGCCTCTGCTTACGTCAAAAGCAGAAAGCCAGACCCTTCCTAGACATCCGAGCCAACCCTATCCGCAGCTATCGCAAGATATTCCACCATAACCATAACCTAAGACCTTCCTGAGAGTGATCGCGACGTAAGCTAGGATGAGAAAAATCAGTAGAAAGAAGGTCGGGAGTGACATTCATTAAGCCCAGTAAAACTCCGTCAGCTGAGACTAAGCGGAAGCGTAACTGAGACGAGACCACCATGCGTAAAACGTCAAAACCAAAATGCCTCAGCTGAGGATTGAACTCAGGACCTTTCGCTTACGAAGCGAACGCACTACCACTGTGCTACTGAGGCGGTGCGTGTGGGAGAAACAATACTTACATAAATTATTACGAGCGCGAAACTTTCCCCTAGAAGTATAACAAATTTCCCGTTGTATGCTCGTGTAATCAAGTTTTTATGACGCTACAAATAACAGAGTGCCTAATCGTTTCGCATAACTTTTGTGACCTATGTCATATTCCGTATCATGAAATACGAACCATCACACTTCTCCAATGGCAGCCAGTTCCTCATTAAATTTGAGGGTTTGACTTCGTGTATCTCATATTTCAATCATTCACTACTTGGATACACGAATCTGCCAGCTAACCTCAAAGCTACAACAATGATTGGTTGTCCCAAACAAAGGATGCCTGAAAGCTTCTTCCCAACAGATGGCCACAGAAATTCCCAAAAGGAGGTCCACGAAAAACATCTCCCTATGGCGGACCACAAAATCTAGTGTCCCAGCAGGGGGGCGCGAAAACCTTGCCCCTGGAGAGGGTCATTAAAAGCAACAAGTATTCAACGCTCAAACTGTGCCCCAGCTGAGGATTGAACTCAGGACCTTTCGCTTACGAAGCGAACGCACTACCACTGTGCTACTGAGGCTGCGACTTGTGAGGAAAGGTAAATAATCATTTTGTTTTTTTTGTTCTCTTTCCTCTCTCCTCACCTTTGCCGTGTCGCCTCGGCACTCCTTCAGCCTGTTTCGCTTCCCCATCACTCAACCAAGGGCAGCAGGGAGGAAAGGACATTCACATTCTCCTGGCACACACCCCATCCAATTGTGAGAAGCACTAATCCCATCTCTGCCGGATCGTAGGAGGCACTTGCTAGGTGCGAGCTCACAAGGTCACTCGATTCTCGTCTGATTTATGTGACGCTCTTGTGATCGTACTTCATAAGAAACTTGGCGATCTTGTGTCCTCGTTGAGCTTTTGAATCTGCTTTCGTAGTTCCTCCACTTGGAGCGTATCTTTTCCTGATTATCCGGAAGCGTTTGCGTTTCTTTTCCGTTGTAGCCGCTACCGAAGTTACTGCTGGAGTCCTCTCGACTTTCGTCGCCGCTCCTCCATCCGTCGCCATCCATGGCGGACGGAAGCAATCCTGAGGTTCCGGCGTCGTGCCTTTTCTGCGCCTGCATCCCCCAGTCGCAGGTCAGCTCCCGCTCACCCATCCGCGTTTTAGTGTAGCTCGACCCAATGAATAGTGGACCACACCACACAAATTTACGAGTGTATTAATATTCGGGTGTGTGATGCAGGTGGGGATTTTCGAGAGGTGGGGGAGATTCACCCACGTGGCCGAGCCCGGGATCCATTGTTTCAATCCCTTCGCTGGGACATGGCTTGCGGGAAAGCTGTCGCTCCGCGTGCAGCAGCTAGACGTGCGCTGCGAGACGAAAACTAAGGTGTGAGGAATTTTCTCGTTAGTATTCTTTACGCTTTTCTTTTCTCCCGTTATCAACGCTTTTTGCGCTCGTTGCAGATTTGATTCGCGTCTCTCAGCCTGGGATGGAATTGTCTTTTGTTTGAATTGCTGTGATACGCGTTTTGTGCAGGACAATGTGTTTGTGACGGTGGTGTGTTCAGTACAGTACCGAGTGATGAAGGACCATGCAGACGACGCGTTCTACGAGCTGCAGAATCCGCGCGAGCAGATCCAGTCTTACGTCTTCGATGGTGAGCAGGATGACGCTGTTTACTCTTTTCAAGTGCCTCCTTTCTCCTCTTTTAGATCTAATCTTTTCGATGGTGAGCAGGGTGACGTTGTTCAGTCCTTTGTCATGTGCCTCTTTATCGTCTTTCAGATCCAGTTTTACGTCTTCCATGGTGAGCAAGATAGCAGAGGCCTCACTGAATCTTGCTGTGTTGCCTTCTGTCTTTATGCAACATCGTGAAATAGGAGTAACACTGTTCTTCGTGTGTATGCTACGCTGGTTGTGTGTGCATGTGCATGTGCATGTGCATGTGTGGGGGGTGGGAGAGGGAGAGGGGAAGGGGGGGTCTGTCTCTGTATGCGTGTCCGTGTGTGGTTGTGGAAATTGGGGGGAGTGTGGGTGCGTGTTCCCGCAGTTGTTCGAGCCAGTGTGCCTCGCATAGAGCTGGACCAGGTCTTCGAGCAGAAAAACGAGATCGCCAAGAGCGTCGAGGAGGAGCTTGAAAAGGTACATTTTATTTTATTCAGAAGGTCGTCAGGCGGTTTTCCAGGTGGTCTTTCAGGTGATGTCTCAGGTGGTGTTTCATGTGTCTTCCAGGGCTTCCTGCATTTGTGTAATTTTTTGGTGGCACAGTGACTTGCTCCGTGGACTCCTCTTCAGACTAGTAGCGTTCCTTATTTCATGGTGTGTGTTCCGTTCCAGGTCATGACAGCATATGGCTACACCATTCAGCAGACCCTTATAGTGGACATTGAGCCAGATGCCACTGTGCGCAAAGCTATGAACGAGATCAATGCCGGTAAGGTCATCTCCGGCTGATTGCAGGCATTTTTGAAGACTTGATTGGCCCATCAATAATATACTTCCAGTGTATCATCACATCGTCCACTGCACTGTCACTGTGCTGGGACTGGCCAAGCTCTAGACATTCATCTTACACACTTCTTTTCGGCACGCTCAATCCTTTTCATGTGCCTACTTTCTTCTCTTGGTCTTTTTTCCCCATGACCAGCCCAGCGCATGCGCATGGCAGCGCAGGAGAAGGCAGGGAGACTTTGCAAACGAAGCATCCTTCTTCCTGTCGTTTCCTTCGTTCTTGCATTTTTTTTTCCCCCACAAACAGCCCAGCGCATGCGCATGGCAGCACAGGAGAAAGCAGAGGCCGAGAAGATCCTGCAAGTGAAGCGGGCTGAGGCTGATGCCGAGGCCAAATACCTCTCGGGCGTTGGTGTTGCTCGCCAGAGGCAGGTGAGTAGTGGTCGTGCAATTCGTTACCACATTCGGCTTTCTTGCCTTTTTATTGCATTGCAATTTGTTGCCACATTCGGCTTTCTTACCTTTTTATTGCATTGCATTGCAATTTGTCACCACATTGGGCTTTCTTACCTTTTTTATTGCATTGCAATTTGTTACCACATCCGGATTTCTTGCCTTTGTATTGCATTGCAATTTGTTACCACATTCGGCTTTCTTACTATTTTATTCCGAAGGTAGCATTGCAATATTGCATGGTAGTCATGTTATCCTTCCTCTTTCCCTCCCACCCTCCTCCCCCCCCGCCGCCCCCCTTTTTTCCCCTCCCCTCTCCCCAGCACTTCCTCGGCTCTCCTTCCTTCCGCCTTTTCATATCCCCTCCCACGTGGCTGTCCGTTTGCAGGCTATCGTCGATGGGCTGCGAGAGGGTGTCCTCGCGTTTTCACACGAGCTGGCAGGAACAACACACAAGGACGTGCTAGACGTGGTGCTTGTAACACAAGACGTACACCAAGTCCCTGCTCCCCTCACTCACCCTCCGTCTCCTCCACTGTCGCTTTCTCTGCGCCCTTCGCTCCACTCCATGCAGGCTATCGTTGATGGGCTGCGAGAGAGTGTCCTGGCCTTTTCACACGAGGTGGCAGGAACAACACCCAAGGACGTGCTAGACATGGTGCTTGTAACGCAGTACTTTGACACGATGAAGGATATTGGGGCGTCGGCTAAGAGCAATACGGTGTTCATCCCGCACGCACCTTCTCAGATTGCTGACATTTCTGCCCAGATTCGGAATGGGATGCTGCAAGGAAATATAAAGCAGGAGTAGGGGTACTGTCCAATGCGCACTGAGTAGGGATATTGTCCAGGAGTAGGGGTATTGTCCAGGAGTAGGGGTATTGTCCAGGAGTAGGGGCGTTGTCGTAGTTGTGCGATGTATTTGATGAGGTACCGTATTCCCCCGGATATACGCCCCTAGGTGCTTATAGGGATTATAGTCAAAATTTTGGGGGTGCGTTTAATTGGATTTTTTTATATGGCACGGTGCGTTTAAAACGTTTTAAGGAATTTTTTTTTAAGAACAGTTAGAACAATTTGCAATCGAATGGACTGATCCCAATCGGGCACAATCAGAGCAGTCCCGCCAAAATCGCTTCCCAGACGATCGACGCGTCTGTTAATTTATTTATGTTAGTATATAATTGTAGGCTTTGTAGACGTTACTGAACATTACTGTAGAGGATACAACACCCCTCCTTGTACCTCTCTCTCTTTCTAATCCATATCTCTTTTCTCTCGTCAAATCTCTCCCTCCTAGTTCTCCTAGCTCCTAAAACCTCACGCCACTTTCATGGCGTCCTAGTTTCTAGTTTGACATGGTTTCAGAGCAGGACGCCCTTCCCGGGCCTGCTCTCCACGCTTCCGCCGCGTACCCATCCTTACTTGGCCGCCGTCGTGGCCTTCCGTTTGCCTGCCGCCGTGGCACATTTTCCGAGATGCCGCGGCGGCCTCTGTGTGCTGTCGTCTCAGCGTCGACGAGCAGCCGCGGCTCCGACGCCATGCGGTGGTGGCGTCGTAGTGGTGCCGTGGCGGTGTCGTCGGCCTGCTGCCGTCGCGCACCACCTGCGTCGCTGCTGGACTTGCAGCCCGCCCGCACGCCAATAAGCGCCGCGCCAGCAATGGCGCCACGCTGAAGATCCGAAGCCCCGCCCCTTCCCCCTTCCCTCTGTCTCCTCTTCGCCACAGCCGCCGCCTGATTCTCGCCGGTCGTCCCCCTGTCGTAGAGTTTGGACACGCCGCCGAAAGGGCGGGGGCCGCTGCCGTTACCGCAGTCGTAAGCCGAAGCCGTCGCCGTCGCCGATGTCGTCGCCGCAGGCCTGTTGCCGCCGCACACTGCCATCGTCGCCGCTGCCGGGACTGCCGCCGTCGCCATCTCCAGGGCCTTGGGGTTGGCCCTGCTGGAGTAGTCGTGGCTGTTGGGAATGGGGGTGCTAGGTTAGGGGGTGTGAGCGTGTGTGGGTCCTTCTGCTACCAAGCCTAGGGGGTGTGTTAAATTATATATGTTAGTATATAATTGTAGGCTTGGTAGACGTTACTGAACATTACTGTAGAGGGTACAACACCCCTCCTGTACCTCTCTCTCTTTCTAATCCAGCTCTCTTTTCTCTCGTCAAATCTCTCCTAGCTCCTAAAACCTCACGCCACTTTCATGGCGTCCTAGTTTCTAGTTTGACAGCGTCAGCCAAGCAGCACATTCGCTGCAGTTTGCCAGCGCGCAGGCTGCAGGGTCCTCGCTAGGATTTCAGCCCGTCTGAAAGTCAGACTAAGGTTTTTCGCTCCGTCTGACCATCAGACGAAAAATTTGCAGCAGTCTGAACTTTCAGACGAAATAGAGCGAGAAGTCTGAACTTTCAGACGGAAAATTACAGTGCATTACACACAATTTTGCCTTGGAATCTCCACGCAGCTCTGACTTTCTGCCGATATTAAAATTTCGCTTGTGTTTCGTCCGTTAGCTCCAAAGGGGGCAAGAAGACTTGTGGGGCCAAGGTGACGTGTCACCTGCAACAAAACCCAAAACCCTAGGCCTCGTATAGAGTTCACCCCGCCCCCATGTCTAGTCGATATACGGACAAAATTTATTCCCAGGCAGAATTTCTATCCGTCCCCCCACCCCCCCCTCTCAGCCCCTCCTCATAGTAATCACACGCTCCTGAACTTAGGCATGAAATTAAATTTGTACAAAGTGATTTGGGCGAGTGCACGTGGGAGGCGAAAAGAACTGGGGGTGTGAGAATCAAATTTGCAAAGGGGGGAGGGAAATTGGCGCCATCCAGGAGGCTTTTTTTGTGAAGGGCCAATGGGCGCCCTCGCACAGCCCCCCCGCAGACAAAGCCTACAGCGCACATCGGCAAAATTTGTTTGAAGGGCCAGTCAAACCCCTCACAACGCCTCTAGCACACACTGGGAGGTAATTCTAGTGAAGGGCCAGTCAGTTCCCTCACACAGCCCCCATCATACATTGGCCTCTGATTTTGGTGAAGGGCCAGATAGCACCACACAGAGACCCCAGCAAGTATCGGGCCCTGATTTTGTCTAAGAGCCAATCAACACTCTTATACCACAGCCCTCCATAAAACGTTTCCAGACGAAAGAATGCGGGCTATCTATAGACGCGTATGAAATATTACACGCAATCTTCAATTTCAGACGGAAATAAAGCATCGCTCTCAATGATCAGACGGATGGGTTGTCTAAACTTTCAGATAAACCTAAAAAAATCAGGTCTGAAAATCAGACCATCAGACCGATTTCGTCTAATAAAAATGGCCCTGATTCCCACTGGGGGGGAAAGGGGGGTGTGTATAGGGATTAGAATATGGAAAATGGGGGGGTGCGTATCGTTGGCACATCCGATATGGCAGCCCTTCGGATATATGCACCATGGTGCGTTTTAGCTGGCGGTGCGTATATCCGGTGGAATACGGTACATGGCAAACATGTCAGTGTCAAACATATTTGTATATGTTGTTGTAGCCTAGACACGGGCATGCCTTAGATAGTACAACACATTAGGTCAAAACTACCGTGTACCCTTCATTCTAGTCCATTCTGCTCCTCTGAGATGGTATCAGCTTAGCTTAGGTCCGCCCACCAGCTTCCGCCGTACCGCCGTGTTGCCATGCCGCCGTGTCGCTGTGCCGCTGTGTCGCTGTGCCGCTGTGTCGCCGTGCCGCCTTGGCGTCGGATCGCTGAGGTCGTACGATGGCGGACTCTGTACTCCGCCTGGACGCGAAGGGGCATGCGCTCGACTTCACCGCCTGGCTTGTCGATCTACGCCGTCACCTTACAGGTCAGGGCCAAGATGGGCACTCCCTGGCTGTGCATGTCGATGGCTTGCTTCCCCGCTCCCCCGCACGTAATCCCCTGCCTGTTGACCCCACCATTGCTCAGCTTGAGACCTTTCCTGCTGCTGCGCTTGCTCGCGCTGTCTAGGATTCGCGCGATGCCGTAACGCAGCGTGCCATTAGTCACGCTCTTCCCCTGTCTGAGCGTCCGCGCTTTACTGCTGTCGCGAACGCCAAGGACTTCTTAGATGCCGTAGTTGCGTGCTACTCCACGCCCGCCTCCGCCTCTGCTGGCCGCCTGGTCCTCCCCATGTTGTTCCCTGATCCTCGCCGCTTTCCCCACTGTAGGACCTTCTGCCTTGTCTAGTCTAGGCTCCACGCTCGCTCCTCCACCGGCCGCAGCTTCCGCTTTGTTGTCCTTTACGCTTGACTTTGGCGCGTCTGCCTGCTTCTTCCGCAACCACGCCGCGCTGACACCGCTTGCAGTGCCTGCCGATGTCGCACTTGCTGACCCCTCCTCCGGTCTTGTCGTTGCCCGTAGTTACACTACCCTTCCCTGTCCAACGGTTCCCTCGGGTTCTCTTACAGGCCTACACATCCCTTTGTTCTCCAGGAACCTAGTTGGTGTCGGTTGTCTTTAGGACCCCGGTGTCACCACTACGTTCTCTTGTCAAGAGCAGTACGATGTCTGTACCGAGGCCGCCTCAGGTGCCCCCCTTGCGACGTTCCCCCGGGACCCGATGTCTGGCCTGTTTATGCTGGACACTTCTTCCCCCCCGGTGGGCACGTCCTCCCCGGGTCCTGCATCTACCCAGGTCGCTGCGGCGTGCTCGTGTTGGTCGCTCACTCACCCGTCGCTTCTGTGGCACCACCGCCTAGGTTACGCCGTACTCCCGCGTCTGCATCACATGTCTCAGCACGGTCTCGTCCTAGGTCTCCCTGCGTCGCTCCCTGCCCTCCCTCCCTCGTCTGCGCCACTATGCATGCCCTGCGTCGAGGGCCGGTTGCGCCCTGCTCCTCATTCCTCCTCGCTTCACCCTGCCTCCGAGCCACTCCAGACCCTGCACCTAGATGTCTGGGGCCCAGCCCCTGTCCCTGGGCCGCGTTGAGAGCGCTACTTTTGCGTGCTTGTCGACAACTACACGTAGCATTAGGAGCATGAGGCGCTCGACTATGCATTGAATTTTCTCCACCCAGCGTGTCTTCTCACGGGCGTGGAACCGAGTGCGTGGAGCGCCTTTCTGCAATCTAGAGTGTGAGAGCACTGGGAGCTCGACTATCCATTTTCCAGGCGTGGGCGGCCTCGCAATCCACCACATGGCAACCTGCTAGGGCACAAAGCGGTTGGGGGACTTGATTGAGCATGAAATGCGTACGGTATGGGTGAAGGAGCCACCTGAAACTGCCATTGTCCTGGGGGACGTTCGCCTGCGATATTTTCAATGGAATTTCTAGCCAAAATCGGCATGCGTAATCTCCGTGGAGTCTTCATCTGACAGCCGAGCCACTCCAATCGAATGTGTGCGACCTCTGACGTCAGCATGCGATGAGGTTGCCGAGGTCGGGAATCTCCAAACCTTAGCCCCCCGAATCGCACGCCACTTCAAACGCCGAAGACGAAGCGCACTAAGTTTGCCCCTGAGCTCTAGGCGGCGGATTTTGTGCATTTTTGGGGGGAACGGGAAGAGGCACGTGACTTGGGAGTTCTAGGTTAGGAAATCGCCAACTAAACCAAACCCGTCGCATGATGACGTCATTCGTCGCACTAACTTTCGGCGACCCAACGAACCCTCTTTTTATGTTCCGCATACCAGCCCTTCCTCTCCGTGCCACTGTAAAATTGGCCGGCGAACGGCCCCCTAGGCCATTCAGCCCACTCCCTCGCCACTCTCACATCGTCAAACTGGGCAGGCCCAAGCAACGCAAAAAGAACAAAACAACACCTGAAACACTTCGTGCACCACCTTCACACAAACCAATATGCTAAATTTGGTGCGACAGCCAGCAAGCACTTACGTGCACACTGATTAGCATCGCAGAAACGCTGGAAAAATAAAATAGCGGCTGACCAAACCTCTTTCTAGCCATTCCTTTTCCAAGAAGGTTCAAAGTTTCTACTTTGAAACACACCTCTTCTTGTTTTGGGGAACCCGAATCTGCAGCGGGGCTCGCGACAGAAATGTGAAAGCTAAGAAGGTGGGGCAAAATTGACCTACAGG